TATATAGACTGTAAAGGCAGACAAGAATAAGAAAGCAAGCACCTGTTTTACTTCTCAGCAAAAAGCCTGCTATTTTTGTGGGTGTGAATGTTAAGAAACATCAGTTACTTTTTCTCCGCACTTGAAAAAAATCTGTCCCCATGATAACTGCACGGGAAATTAAAAAGGGAAAAAATATGTTTTGACATGTTATGGCTGGGTAATATGCTATAATTCCATTATTTCCTGAGTTCACAATCATGACTAAGACCATCTCTGGGTTGCCAAAAATTAAGACTGGGGGGGTTTTTTGTTTTGGGTTGGGTTTTTGTTGAGACAAAAAACACATTTAAATTTCCATATCTTTTATGACAGAAAATACTGCTATAAAACCAAAACTTTACGTTGCAAGTTGCATGAATTATATTTAAAAAGGCAGAAAAAGTAGAAAGGTACTTTATGCATACATCTTCCATTGATATATTCATGCTGCAATCCTGTTCTTCAGTGAGAATGCAAGCAAATGACTGCTGCAGTAACCAAATTAGAAATTAACTATGTTTCGAGTGTATTTTCAAAATAATAATAAAATTGTGTGGAAAATGTCTATTATGTTTGTCTTCCAAAAATAAGATATTCATATCTATCAGAGCAAATGAGAAGGAAATAAATGCCTACCACATAAAATACTAATAAGATTTCCTATGTGGCTGTATCAATCTTGTCAGCTAATTGAAGAATGTTTGCTTTCAAATTTCCCAACATTTTCAGGCTTGGTACCATGACCTTTATTTTCTCCTCATGTAACCAATACCAACTGTGGGTCTGCAATACATAATTACCCACCACATTAACTATGTTCACATCAAACAGTGCCTTAATTGGACACTAACCAAGATATAAAAATGCTAAAATGATAGTTTGCATAAATAGTTGATTCTTCACCATTGTTTGTCTAGGGAAACTTTCTGTAAAAGTAATTTCAGAAAAACAAAACAAAAAACCCTTAAGAGGATTTTTTCCTACTTCTAAGCAATTTTCACCATTGAGATGTAACAGAGAACATAATTATGAAATAATAGTAGTTTCTTATCACATCTGTTAAAAAAACAGTAAACAGCTGTTACAGTCGGCTGTAACATAACAGAAGAGGAAAAAATCAGCTTTCATCATGATACCTCACAAACTTGTAAGAGCCCTCTGGAAGAACGGCTGTACACTCGGACAACGCTAACTCAGCTGACAGAAAGCAGATGGATTTTCAAATAGTCCTCAAAAGGGCTGGAATTAAGGTACCATAAATTCAGAATAATGCATGGGACAGGCAGGAAGAGACATCATCCTGGATAGCAGACCCTAAATCCATTATCATTACACAGGGAAGAGCTTAGGATGTTACAGCAGATAGATTCATGAATATATTAGGTCAATTCTCAGTAGCAGCATAACGAGCAAATAGATTATTCGTAATTATTATGAAAAAAATAAATGACATAACGAAAACAAACATGGTTATGCCACATCTAAGCAGTGATGGCTCCCTCATTTCAAAAACATTGCAATAGAATGGTATTGAAAGGGGTAATATGAACATTAAAAAGTATGGAACAACTTTTGTACAAGAAACAATTAGATTTGGACTCTTATGGCAAGGGGAATGATGGCAGAGGAGAAGCATAAGAAGTTTTGTAAAATCATGACTGGCAGTGGAGATGATAAGAAATGATGGCTCAGCTCTTTAATATAAGATCTAGCAAGCATTAATTTAAATTATTAGGCAGCCAATCCAAAAAGAAAACAAAATTTTTTTCAGACCACATAAAATCAAGCATTACTACAGAATGCCGTGGATGCCAAAGGTCTATGAGGGTTCAAAAAGCAACCAGATAAACTTGTAGAAAAAAAAGGGCAGTAGGTTAGATACTAAAGCTTATCTCTGGCTCAGGTGACCCTAAACTGCAAGACTGCTGGCAACTAGGAGGTCATACCGAAGGCATTATCACTGTATGTTTGCCCGTCCTTACTTTCTTCTTTAGGCATCTGCAAATGGGTCACTGTAGACATTGGCCTTTGGTCTGACTTACTAGAGCCATTCTGGAATTATGTTAGAGCCTAAACCGGCAGAGTCAACAGAAAATAATTTGCTTACACAGACTTTCATGGTTTGACAGAGGATTTCAAAGTTGCTTGAGATAGCTGGGATCGGGGTTTTTTCCCATATTAAAGACTCCTAATAAGCAAAATGGATTCAACTAGAGATTAAAAAAAAAAAGCCACAAAGACAAAAACATTGTTCCCCACACAAAGATTTTGCATAACAGCTCAGATGCACAGTGACAGTCATCAAATTTATCAGCCATGTGACAAGACTGAATATGGAGTACAATACAGTAATGATATTACACAGATCAGCACGCAGTAAGAAACTACTGGATAACGTCCATGACTTCTTCCCTCTACATCAAAAGCCAAAGAAGTGATTTCACACAAGATAAACAGTAAGTGAGTCTTGGTCATTTATAATCACTGCAATGTGTACAATATGAATATATTAAAAAAAAAAAACTTGCGGAATTGCAACTGTTTTCAGGGTGTGTGCGCAGGTGAGGATTAGGGTGCAGCTGGTTTGATTTATGGCTTACCAGTGCCTTCTTACGGCATCGTTCTCATGGATACACAGGGCATACGTTTGATTTAAAAATCAGGACCTATTGTTTTGACAAATAAACTTTGTATATAGAGAGTGTAACTGATACAGCCTGTACATAGATAGCATAAAAGGTCAAAGGCAATAAAATACATGAATGATGAGCTGAAAAAAAGCTAGAAAAGCTTATGGCTTTCTAAACATCTATTTAGGAAATATGCTATAAGGAAACTGGCAACCATTAACAAAGCCGGGGCAGAAAAATACTACCTTAAATTCCAAGAAATTATATTAGAACAGAAACGAATCATCTTTTGAGCAAGGGCCCGATTCACCTAAAAATAGAAATAACAACTAGATCTGATGACTCTCAGAACAAGTTTTGAGACTTTCTTACAACAAGGAGAAAGCACATCATACCAATATGATTTGGGAAGCTGTTCATTCTGTAAGCGTCATTCAAGGAAGCAGTTTTCTTGCTCATCAGTCTGCTTTTCATTACTCTCATTAATCTCCAAATATCTACACTTTCAGGCATTTACAATAAAGTTTTTGTATTACTGCCTCACTGTCAAAGATTTAAAAAAAAAAAAATAGATCTAGAGTCTTCCTGCAAGGCTTGGTTAGAATAGATAGCAACTGAACGGAACACACGCTGAACACCACTCTTCAAAAAGTCATCTAGAATAAGGAAGACTAATTATTTTCTGCCTTCACTGATACTGACCTTTCAGCACCTGTTATGCTTATGTAAGTTGACCATGCACAACAGTGACTTGCATATCTAGTGTAACACACTCTGCAAGTCTTAATTCTAGAAAAGCTCAGAAGACTAATTCCAGTTGAAGGCAGTACTATTCCTCAGCTCTTCTAAAAGCTATTTCTGAAATATACAGCTTCATATGACCATGGATGGATGAATCTGTCGATTATGTGTAACAATGACAGTACTCTTTTTTGTATTTGTTTGTTTGTTTTTAGTACAAGTGCTACTGCGAATGAAAATTATAATCTTCGATTTGTTCATAATCTCAAAGTACTCAAACACTGGGACAGAACATTTAGTGTTCTCGTTGGAGGTATTTAAGTATTAACTAAAATAGTTCACACTTAAAAATACAGAAACAGAAGAAATGAAGAAGGATTTTCAAATGTTAATAAAGTTATTGTAGTTTTAAGTTCTACCTAGCACTAGGATATAAGCAGGGCTAGGCTTCAGGAATGTACTCCATTTGGGTTTATAATTACAAATGGGAACAATACAGAAATCAATATTCTGCATAGCACCATATGCCCCCAGTCCCCTGACACTAGTCCTGTACAAAACCAACTAGCCAAACAAAAATCCTCTGCAACAGAACAGATTTAAATCTGCAACACTATGCTGCAGTAGAAATAATATTCTACAGCCTCCTGAAATATGCTTTAATTTAACCCAGTTAGTAATTTGTCACAAACTAAATTTTTTATTTCTAAATTTTCAAATTGTTGCTGCTTTCTTGACTTTTAAATGTAAAAACGGAAACTTAAAGAAGGGGAAGCTTAAGACTGACAGACAATTTGAGATAGCTGGGGATGTGGGATGAAAGAAGTTGCAGGATAATTCACACAAATTTTGGAAAAGGACATTAAACTAGAAACTTCTGCTAAAAACAGACAGTGATAAAACAGTAATGTTGATTTTGTATATCACAATCTCCTTTCAAGGACAGCAACCAAGCAACTGAACAGATTAGTTTGCTCATACTTCTGAGAACAACTGTTTCATATTCAGGCACGTTTAGATCCATTAACTTGAAATTTATTCCAGTAAACATTTCGTACTAGTGCTTTTCTTTTTTTGTCCCCTCAAAAGTTTAGACTACTGAAAGCTAGAATCCAGTTATCTAGCAGAAAATGGACCGCATGGTCCTCTTTGAAACCACAGACTTCAGCAAACACAGGGCTCTAATTAAGAAGATATACAAATAAAATCTCCAATCTTTACTCCAAGTTAAAGGTAACACTCTTATGTTCCAACATCATTACTAGATTACTAGATAAAACTGTCTTAGGGTATGGTAAGGAAATACATAGTGTGAAACTAATTACAGAAAAGACATTCCTGGAATCTTTAAAAGTCACAATAGCCATCTATAGATGAGTAATTACTTGACAAAGTATTTACAAGCGAGTGTAAGATTATTCAAATTCCAGTGACAGAAGTAAGATCCCTAAATTCTGACAATACATTTACGTCCTCAGACATTGTTTTAAGCTATATTTAGATCAAAAGATTATCAACATGTTTCACCTATCATCGCTTCAATAAATGCATAAAAGTAAGCCTTCTACCTTTTGGTTTTGGCGGGGCGGGAGGTTATATTTTACTTACCAGTTCCTATGTAGGATTTAAAGCGTCCTGATAGTCTGTCGACAAAGGCACCTAGAACATCTAATCCCAGTAACGCCACCTGTTGAAACAAAAGCATTAGATATACAAAACATATCACTGAGGAATCCTTCTTTTAAAAGAAATTACGGACATACATGCAAGCATGCTGAGCCACTGTATCAATCTAAAGATAATGAGAGTTCTAATCAGAGAGGTGACAATTCCTAAAAGCTTGGATTAAAAAACAAAGTTTTCAGGATGTCTGGAACAGACCAGTAATATTTTCACATACTGGTGCTGTTCAGATTTTTCAGTACTTGTTTCAGCACAGAAAGAAAATAAGCGTTAGAAATTTAATGTTTTATTGTATTTTCCACTACAAATGATAGAAACTCAGATAAATAATAAGAGGATTAAGGAGTTGGAAAAACCTCTTCATTTCTGCCTGGATTGCATATTACGACAGCAGTTCTACTCCCCAATTTCTTTAGAAGATGACTCCCAGCAATCCAGCTCAGCAATAGCTGGAAATCAAAACTCCTTTGGAACAAGTATACCCTGCACCAGAACAGCCATACTATTTTAGCCTTGTCTCCTCCACCAGGCTCCTAAGCTGCTGTGAGAAACAAACAAGAAAGCCTGACAAAAAAGAAAGGGGGTGGAAGGGGGAACACACCCAAATAGAAAAGAAGCAAACAGCTTGAAAAAACAGAGAGCAAGCAAATCAAGCCCCTAAATAAAAGTTCTAAATTAATTTCAAAGTAAAACTTGCATTTAAAAGCTTTGAGAGGGAATACAGGTTGGAAAGACATCGCTCAAAACAGTTTCCCAGATGCTAAGAGCTCACCTGAATCTGGAAATTTATTTTCCCCAACTCCCAAAAGAGAACAACTAAGAAAAGCTAATGCTGCTAACGTCCCTAGCAGTTCAGACCACGCCATTCATCTATCTGCTTCTTAAGCTAGGCAAGTTTTATTTTTCTACATTTGCTCTTGCTCAAAATACAGCTATGGTTGTGAGACAGATCCCACCTTTGAACAGAAAACCGGTGAGAGAGGACAGTATCTACTAATTTAGAAACATACAAAAATCATCAGAAATGATCAGTTCAACCAAATAACTTCAAGAAGTCAGCAGACCTTTTTTTCCTCTTAAGTATCCTGGCACGCTGTACTAAGACTTCATTCAGTTTCCCAAGACAGTTTTTTGAGCATCAGAACATCGTCACATCTTGTAGTTGACTGACTTTGTTGCTTATGAATACACAAATGCCAAATGAGACACCTACTGAAGCTTGGGCATTCATAAGGAGTTTTCCTCCAAATGAATTCTCTATGCTTTACTAAGACGTATAACCACACTGCAATTTTTCCCCACAAAGACACGAGCAGAATCACTCCCCCCATTAGTTGCCTATTTTCATAAAACTTGGAACCACATTTGCTTGAAGAACTGTATTAAGATCCTCATCAGTCAAATTTGCCCACACTAGCCAACAAGTCAAAAATAATTTGGAGAGATTAGTAATAATACACACAGCCCACACACAGAGGATCACATAAGCTTTGTTTTCGCAAGAAACCAGGCCAACAAGCCTCCCATAAAATGCCGTTCTGAAGCAAGCACATAATTAAACAGGTATTAAGTATTTCGATATTGATACAGTAGACCTCTCTATAAGCAGGAGGTACCAAATGCAGCACAAGTCACTAGCAAATTTACTCAATTTTATAACTGAGACTAGCAAAACCAAGCATACAGTATCATTGGCTTAAATTAATATGTTGCCAACAAATGACTGCATGTAAGAGTTAGAAGGACAAGAAAAGGGAAGACTATAACTGATAGCTTATTTACACACACACACACAAAAAAATAATATATATATATAAAAATATATATAAAGGCTTTTATGGTAATATCAAGGCTTCCCAAAAGTTCTCTTCCACAATGCTGTTTTCCAGATTCTCAAATTATACAAGACTTGAGACAAAAATCTCAATCTAAAAAAGGATACTTGAGATAAATTAGTAGGAAACTTATTCTGGGTATATATTCTGTTTTCTTATGGATCTGTTTTTTGACTACAAGCTCCACTTTAGACTTTTTTTCCAGTGACAACTTGCAAGGTACCTTTCCCGTCTGAGTACTCAGATGTCTATTAGTGCACAAACTCCAGACTTTCCTTCTGTAAGGGTGCCTTGGGACTTGCTCTCTTCTCCACAAATTCAATTGTTTCTGCAAATCACCTTTAAGACTTCTATCTTTCTGAACAGCAGCAGTTCAGAGATTTAAAGCATGGGAAATATGCATGGCTGCATTTAATAACAGATGTGATCTTTACTGATCCCAAAGAAAAGTTATTAATAAGATTGAGAGTATTTCTTAATGAATCCAAGCATAGCCTCTAGCTTTTTTTCAGTTTGATCTGGGTAAAAACAGTAACCATATGGAAGATCTGAACTTCTATATACTTAAGGATCAGAGGCTCAGTAACTACCAGAGAATTGGCTATTTATCCTATTGTGACAGTTACTGCCAACAGATTCGATCACCTGCTTTTCATTTGTGTAAGAATATTTTATTTTGATCAAGAGCACCCACTGAGACACTGCCTGCACACTCCATGTTTTTGTATCCCTGTGAATGGATAAAGTTCAATCATTGCTTACAATGCAAGAATCATATGTATCATGAATAAGCATTCAAGCAGTTGTCAACATAGTGTTGGTTCTTCATAACTAAAAGCTTATCAATTATTTGCGTAAGCAACACAGTAAGGGTTCTATTTCAATAACTACTGTGGAAAAGTCACCTCAGTAAATACTACCAATTTAAACGTCCTGCTGAGTAATTCTGTCTTGTGATGTCCTCACTGTATGAAAACATATTGTTTAGATTGCACAAGATTAAATAAAGCTTTGAAAAGTTACCTTGCTAGGTCAGAATGAGACATGAGAGTAACCCCGGCTTTTAGAAATGCAAAATTAACACAGACTGTGCTGCGAAATCCTCTGTAACAGCTACTAAACAAGCAGTCTTTACACACAACAGGTAACGAAATAGGTTACTAAGGGCTTAAAGGAGTAACCGTCTATAACATGAGGTTATCCCTTTAGATCATAAAGAGTCCTATAGGAAGGCCAGAGGCCTGTAACTTGGAGGAAAAAAGGGTATAAGCCCTTACAGTACTTGCAGAGTGAGAAAATGTGATGTGACCTCAGGCTGGAAATAATGGAAAAGTGCTGTTGCTACAAAGTTTGGTCCTGTTTGGCAATTCAAAAGAAAAGTCAGCTGAATCTGGCTCAAGCATACTACCGCAGAAAACACCAAATAAACTGTCATTGATTGTTTCTGTAAATCAGTCTCAACACTCCTCTGCTTGGTACACAATGGTCTGAGTTGCAGCATCTTCTGGCAGGTATGATCCACTCAGTATTTGAGCAATCCTGTGTAAGGAGTCCTTACGCAGTACAACAGTCCTGAAAGACTGCAGTGAGCAAGGTTTATCAAGTGATATGGGGTCAAAAGAGCAGCATTCAAGAAAACCACGGAGCCAGGGCAGAACTGATCCGCAAGATAAAAAGTTCCAAGCTCTCAGACCCTATGCAGAAACAAGTGCCAATAGGGGCTCTTTGCTATGAACAGAGAAGCCTCTCACCTTTGTCGTGGCTCTTCCCACTGGCTTAAACTGAGCGTTATTCCTTCAGGGATAAAAATCATCGGATCTATGTCTTTGTATACATTAAGCCTTTTGCCTGGTGCCTAGAAAGAGGCTAGCAAGCTGCTACAGAATACATGTTCTCGTATGTTAAGACTGATTCACCAGCTCTCTATTAATAGTCTGCGGCATTTAACTACTGCCTTTGAGGTTCACAGAAGAAAAGAAATTTAAACTTACTTGAATTGGAGTTGGTCAGTTGTGGGTGTCCTTGGATTTGATCATAGGATCTGAACTGTATCTGTGCTTTTTGGGGTTTTTTTGTTTTTGTTTTTTTAAACTTCGAGGGAGAAAAGTTCAACAGGAACTTCCATCGAGTTCCTTTGGTGGAGAGAATTTACTTTACATTGTAAAATTACTGAGCAATTTGGCTTCCTGTCACCATGGGGACGATTCTGGTCCCCATGTCTGCTCCCCCATAAGTTTCTCACTCCTCGATCACTTTATTGACCTCCCTGTATATATTCCTATTCTCCTATTTTGCAGGATACTCAGCAACTCCTCTCATTATTTCCACTCCAATATTCTCCAGAAAAATAACTTCTCTGAGACCTACCCTCTTGACTCATTCCATGAACCTTCATAACCCAAAATATTGCCCAGACACCAAAGACTGCCCCTAGTGCTATGGGCAGAACAAAGCTTCCATTTCCCTGGGCCGTTTTTCCCTCCTAGGCTCTTCTTCAATACCAGCCAGGCAATCTTCAGACACTGTTCTTCCTTGAACATGAAAGTGCATTGCTGCAACCTCCCCATTCTGCATCAGCCAGGCAGCTGCCCCTGCTGACAGCAATCAAAATCGCAGTGCCAGCTGCTGAAGCTATCAAAGGTATCATCTATCCTTAGATATTCTAGCCGACAAGAAAGCATGATTTCCATTCTCTGGCTTATTCCGTCTTCAAAGGTTACATACGGCACTCACTTTCAAAGAGGTGTACAATGTGTTTTCACATGTATCATATCTCTCCACACTGCAAGGACAGCAGAGGGCCTATTGGTAATCTACCAGAAAGTCTTCACGCTCAATTTCTTTGAGTAGTAAGTAGAGGGAAGCAACAGTGCAACAGGTGAATGAAGACTGACATCCCACTGGGTATTCCTCTTTGGGACTGAAATATACATATTAAAAAAGGGTGAGGAAAAAGAAAAAAGGTAATGCTACAGTTCTTCAGCAAACACTGAGCCTCCTCTATCTAACAATGAAACTTTACTGACCTGGAAGTAATGTTTTGCAGCTACAGTTTGGACCGAAAACTAAGGATCCCAAAGGCTAGAGCCAAAAGAGTCAACTCTGCTACTGATTAAACTACACATCAACTGCAGCCACCACTGTCTGGAAAGGAGTACAGACTGCCAAA